AAAGCATGTGTTCAAGCATCAGCTTAAATCCATCATTACTAAGCAATGGATGTTTTTAATTCCCATTGACTTCAGTGAGCCCTAAGCAGGCACCTAAGCATTTTGCTAAACAGGGTCTGAATCAGATTGGTGTGTTCTTGTTGAAATGGCTTACTCCAACATTAGTGATGGCAATGACAGCTAATAAACTAAGACAATATCTTCTATAAAAAAAGGTGAATTAAAATCAGTGCCAGAGTATTTACAGCAGATATTAAGAAGAGTGAAACTTTAAAGCTTCGTTTTTTTAATGACAAAGATGAAGAGTCCAATCCAAAGCCCATTTACATCCTAAGTAGGGAAATGCACAGACTTCTAGAAACTGATTCAAAGTCCACTGAGGAAGAAATAAAGCTGACATGCAGTGAATGTAATTTGTTACTGTTTTCAGTCAGTACACCATTTGATTTCATTTTAACCGTTCACACAAGTTTTGTTTTTATTGACTATTTCTTGCAGCTTTCAATTGATCTATACTTATTTTCACATACTGTGGGCCTGACCCTCTTTCATTAAAATACCATGCAGGGTTGTCAAGAAAAATAGTACAATGCCACAAATTTGTCTAGACATGAAGCCATAAAAAAACCCCCAAAAACTATTAATAGCTTCTGATGATACACAATGAAAAACAATCCAAAAGCTACCATGGTTTCTTCGCTCATGAGTTTCTTTTGCACCCCTTCATTGCACTGCTCATAGCAAACATATTTGGGATTTTCCCATTCTCTCTTTTACCTGGTCCAGGTGAACACATACATAAGAAACAAAGAACATGAATGTAACTCCAAATTAACTCAAAAAATGCAATGATGGACTCTCATATTCTCCAACACACAGACTTTTGGATTTTTAAACAAATGCAGGATAGGAACAAAGAAGGAACACTCCAGAATTATAGCTGACCAATAGACTGAAAGACCCCATAGAAACTGAGTGATTACATCCAACTGTATGAGCAATGCAAGACATTGCCTTCTCTTGCCCTGAAAGGAAAAAAAAAACAAATCTCCACTGCCATTCCTTTAGGGTTTTTTCTCAGCCTTCTCCCCTCCACCCCCATAGGACCCTCATTTTCCAGTGCTTCCAACACTGTATATTCAAACCACTTGTATTATTCTGAAAGCACATGCTGAGTTGGGGCTCCTACAAAAGGAATGAAACAGATATACGGCAAGGATGGGGCAAGGGAGGAGATTACACTAATCCAGATTCTGTTATCTCCTGTTAAATAGCATCTTTCTTCTCAAGTTGTCCTAGAACCACTGAGAAAGCTCTGTAGAAAACCTGTGCAAGTGCTATAGGAACTGGCCTGAAGAACAGGGATAAGGCACTGAAGATTCTCTGATTGCTATAGGGTCCTCTCTCACCTTCCCTTGAATGAAGAATGTGCCCTCTCCACTACTCCAATGGCATGCAGAGCTTCCCAGACTTTAGGTAACAGTTAAAAAAAAAAAAAAAGTCATTTGGGTGTCTACTTGTCCATATATTATTTAATGCAATTTAATTAGTCAGTTCAAATGGAAGTAGGATGAGTTTGAGAAGACAGTTCCCAATATTCTACTGTTACACTTAAATTTGAAATTTATTTTTGAAACAGCAAGATATACATCAGTGAAGAAGAAACTGGGATACTGCTATGACTTGCGTTTTTGCTGTAGCCTTGTGTTTCAGAAAGTAGGAAAAAATGGAAATGTTTCTTAAAAGATTTTTTTTTTAAATCCATCAACTAAGTTAATATTGTCTTGTCAACTTAATGTACAGTAACGACAAACAGAGGAATCAATGTCTGTGAAACTCACTTAAGAGGTTGTTGTTTTATCATAAGAGAATGTATTAGAAGTGAAACAGGGAGATTTGATTTGAGGAATATTGTAGCCCATTGGAGGTCTAGAGATAATATGGCTAAGAACAACTGGAATAACAGCTTATAGCCTTTACTAAAACTTCATTTGTATCTGCATAAGAAACTAATACAATAGTATAATAACAGTATTAACAAACCATGAAGGCTTGGCCATTCTTTATACTAATTTATTCCATAAGCCCAGTAGTAATGGGTCCTGAACAAGGCAGATATTTTCATAAATTTTGAAAAGGGAGCAGGCAGCTTTCATCTCAAATGGATGTACTCCTTCAACACCAGGTTCTCCTTATCAATGGAGAATATCAAAAATGTGTTCAAGCTGTTGAATTTGTAAATATTTTAATGGTTTCCTAGACTTCAGATCAGATGTCAGATGAAAGATCACATGACTCTATAGGACAAGAATCAGTTAACACTTTTAGACAGTGTTAAGCTTTATACCTTAGTGGATGTTCTTGCATGGAATGCTAATTACTATATCCCAGTAACATTTTAGCTAAGCTAGACAAGTGCCTAAAATGATAGTGATGAATCACAACCAGGTTTCTACCCCCGCCCCCCCCAAAAAATTGCATCTTTCATTCCTCAGTTTACTACTGGGCTAAAAAAACAGCCCACCCACAGCAATATATCAAGAAACCTAAATGAGAATGTAAACTAAATTTCACCTCCAAGTTTCTTGTCAGTGATATTTCATCTGATTCTCTAGGACATAAGCTATAGCTCAATGAGAAACCTAGAAAGAGCCCCTCCATACAAACTAAAGACAAAATGAAAGGTGGTTCACCTTTGCATGAACCAGAACCTGTCAAGACTTCTATTGATGTTCAATGCATTATTTAATTATAGCAGGTGCCTGCCCTTTAGCATTCTGAAGAGAAATAAAGCAGAAAGGTTAACTTACCCGTTTGCAATCAGATAAAGACTTCTCATTGGCCAATGTGCTGAAAGTTGTAGTCTGAAAAAGAGTGGGAAAAGTCCATCAGTTCAGACTAAGTGTTAAGCATCATACTCAGTGTAAGGCAAACCCAGGGCTGTCCTCTCTACTGGGCTGGCTGCAAGCGAGGAAGAGGGAAGAGTCCACTCTTCCTACTGATGTGCTAATTATGCACATTTTACTTTATACCATAAAGAGCCACATAGATCACTTTAGGACTAGTCCCAGGGCAAGATATTACTAACATAGTTAACAGTGGTGGAATCAAGCCCTAAAGTTACAAAATGCACTGAAAGGTTAATGCATGTCTTTGAACCTTAAAATGCTAATAGTACTTGAATAGTCCAGGGATGCTGTAGTTTAAAAGTTATGAACTGGAGGGAAGGAGGGTGATAGTGAACCTGAGGTTGACAACTTCAGGAGAAATTATGCCAATTTCTGGCTCTGCTTTTCTACACTGTCAATTATTTGAAAGACTTATTTATCTGACCTACCCTAAGCGGTGCCTTTAATCATGCATATTTTTTTAAAATCAATGAACTCCAAAGTTTCTATCATTTCGAAGGGTCAAAGGGTCTGCTGGCTCTTCTCAAAGAATTTGGGTTCAGTTTCTTTTGTAACTAGTTTAACTCTCAGAGAGCATGTGCCTGAGAATACGTTACAGCAGACCTGGGTTTTGCTCCTTTGTCAGATGCTTTGAGAGGTAAACTAGTTACAGGTGATGTTGAATCAAGACTCCCTTACAGAGGCCAGCTGACAGCATGTTAAAAATTCCCCAAGACCTTTTCTAGCTCACTTTGTGAAAGACCAAAAACAGGAGAAAGCACATAGGCCATTGCCAAAAAGTAAAATTACCACCATGCTCAAATATATTACCACATCTTTCATACCCAAGAAAATCCAAATGCCAGATCTCAAGAATCCTCTACTAGAGGAAGTGATATTACATGATTCAAAGAAACATTTCACTTTAACCCACTGTTTTAATTTGCTTTATGTAAGTTATTGTGATATCATTTGCTCTATTAATCAGTTTGCAGCTCTGGTTGCTCAAATTGTATGGATATCATTTTGTTAAAATGCATGCCGATTACATTTATGGACAGCTATTCAATTCTTTTCTTTTTTCCTTTTTAGAATTTACAAGCAACTTTTAGCAGAATTTCTGTAGTTCATCTTTATAAGCTGACTTTAAGCCCAATTTGCCTTGATGTAAAGTTAGAAGTACCCTAGTTATACCACTTCTCAGTGATTTTCCTGAGAAAAGTATGGTAGGCAATAAACTCTGTAGCGCACTTTCCTAATCCATATGTAATGCAATACTTGATGGACACAAACACTGATAGAAAGGATACAGCTACGCCATGGTGTCAGTGTGTCCCAAATGGGATGCTCCCAACCGTGTCCCATCACTCATTCCCATTCATATACTTTAACCCAGGAGATGCACTAATAAAGTCACTTTAGGGTTGTTCCCAGAAACCACTTACAGAGATGCACCCCAGGGAATCTTGGAATGCCTCTCCATAAGTAAGGAAAGTTGGGGTTTCCCCCTTATGGAAAACTCAGGATCTTCAGGGGTGCAGGAAAAGCCCAAGTGGATCCTGGCATAGAGGCATGGGACCTGGGGAATCCCCAGTGCTTCATGCCAGGACCTGCTTACCCAGACCTGCCCCTAAAATCTCCCAGCAGGTCTGGATAACCAGGGAAAGCAGATTTTCCCACTTACCCAAACCTGTTTTAGAGATCTCAGGGGCAGGTCTAGATAAAAAAGGTACAGCCTGGGTTTTCCTGCTTAACCAGACTCACCCTCAGGGTCTCTGAGGACTCATCTGAGTAAGCAAGGAAAGTAGGGCTTTTGCTCAATGAAGCAAACTGAATTCAGATCTCTCAAAGTCTCAGTCCAGTGCCCAATTACATGATTGTCCTCCCTTTCACAAGGCCCTAGCACCAGTATCATAAGAGCATTTCTAGCAAATAAAAAACTGCTTTCAAACTCCAAGAGAATGAGCTCTTTTTTAAATAGGCCACCACTCTAGTTCCCAGACAGTAGACAAACAGACTGAAACTACATATGAGTAATCATATTTGTACATGCAAATTGCTGACTTTGTACATATAAATAATTTTGCATGCAGTACTGTAAATGCTTTAAAATTACAGGCCAACCCAGTTTCCAGGTCCTAAATGGTGCTGGGCTTTGGGCAAATGGCTGATAGTGGCAGACTAATATTAGAACTTAAGTTACAAAATTTAAAGACTCTTTAAAATGAAACCTTTTAGTATGTGTTTTAATTGAACTACTACTAAGAAACCAGATATAAAGTGGCAAATGGCTGGTCTTTAAGGACACTTCTACACATAATGAAGCTGCCCTTTTTAGTGGTTTAATTGCCCTTTTATAGTGATTTAGTTGTGTCACACTGTACATCAGGCCTATGTGAAGCAGTAAGTATTCACTTCAGATTCAAATGATTCAGAGGGACAGTGATTTGAATCGCTGTCCTGATTCAATTTGGCTGATTCAGAGATTTGGCTATAGACTACAATGAGGAATCACTAAAATGCCTAACTTTGTCATTCTTTTTTCATATACAGATGAAAACAGCAGGGATGCTATCCCCTTCTAAGGGCATGAAGCCTGCCACATTTCAAGGAGATAGGTGCAGGGGGGTTTTGTGAAAGTGTACCTCAAACGTTTGAAAGAAAAACTTGTATCACTTGCGTGTGTTAAGGCAAAATGGAATTAATGCAGCAGGGATGGTAGCCCCTCTGTGAGGATGAGGCCTGTCAGGTTTCAGGCAGAGTAGTGCAGGAGTTTTGGTGAAAGTGCACCTCAAGTTTCTGAAAGCAAATAGGTGCGGAGCAAGGAGGGTGGCACTTACTCCATCTGCACCTGGAGCTTGGGGAACCCCAGCAGCGGGAGGTTCACCTTGAAGAATACCAGCTGCTCCACCAAACCAGGATCCAAGGAGGTACGGTCAGGTGTCACTACATCACCAGCAATGCCGAATGCCCTCTCGCTTGAAACCCTGGTCAGTGGACAGGACAGGACAGGTGTTCCTGGGCAACCATGGCCAGATCCAGCTGCATCTGGCTGAGGGTTGCTCAATAGGCCAAGGGGTCACAGTGCAGCAGCTCCACGTCCTCAGTGAGATAGGTAGCCACTGAGGCCTCCGTGCTACCTGCCTGATGGTGGTGTCTGGTGCCTATGAACCCCAACATTGAAACCATGCCTTTGGCCCACATCGGCAGTGGCCATGGTAGAGAAGATTGGCTCATGGTTGGAATGCTAGCACAGGAAAGTGGATCCCTCTCTTCCACATCCTCCCGCCTCTGCCCTTCTGACTCCCTGATCTGTTCACCATCACCTCCTATGGCAGAATACCATCTCTGTCTCTCCCCAAACTCTGCTATCTGACAACTTGGTTACCATGGTCACTGTAGAAAGCAGACTCTTCTGGTCCCATCTGCTTCAGGTAACCCTGAGTTGTAACCTGAGCTAGATACACTCTTGAGGGAAAGTGGAAACCTACTCCCTCTGCCTACATGACTGGCATCACATACCTGGGTGGGGGCCTAAACTCCCTATTATTCTAAGCAATGCCAACATGACTGGGAGGGAGCTAAAGACTGCCAGTCTATCCAGCAACCGGTGATGCATTTCAAATTGGTTGGCTGGCAGCCAACAGTTACTGGCCTTCATTGGAGCAGATAAATGAGGTCATAAGGGCTATATAAGTGATGGACTGCCCAGGGGGAGGGGCAGTAGCCATGATGAGAACTCAGAGAGAAGCTGGGCCATCTGAAACTCTCTCTCAAAACTCATGATCAATTAACTGTTTGCCTCCAGAGGGAATCTCCACCTGCCTCTGGATGATGCTTGTGAGTAAGATACCTGAAATCTAACTAGATATATAGTTTGTAGTAACTCAGATGTGTGATCAAAGGCTACCATGCCACTGTTTGCTCTAAGGTATTTCTCTGATATTCCATATCTACTCCTTGTAACCAATAAAGTTTTCCTTTGTATCTAGCATGGGAGACATTGTGAGGAGGTCTAGATTATGCCTTGTGGGCCCCTTGGTTTGGCTGAACCTGAAATCTAACTAGATATATAGTTTGTAGTAACTCAGATGTGTGATCAAAGGCTACCATGCCACTGTTTGCTCTAAGGTATTTCTCTGATATTCCATATCTACTCCTTGTAACCAATAAAGTTTTCCTTTGTATCTAGCATGGGAGACATTGTGAGGAGGTCTAGATTATGCCTTGTGGGCCCCTTGGTTTGGCTGAGTAAGGGAGACCGCTATTTGTGCTTCAGACCAAGGGAAGCATCCCAAGTTCTTGCAGTGGTTCAAGTACCCTCAAGGACTACTAGGCCTGCATTTCCCAGAGGGCACAGGTCCCAGATCCGTCCAGACTCTGGATGGTGACAGCGTTACCCCAGGCTTTCGGATGTGCTCCAGGAGGGAGGTCGACCGGATGCGAGGCACTCCCAGGGAGGCACTCGGAGCCTGGAAGGTGATTGGGCACAGTGAGGTGGGTGGCTCAATGAAGGAGCACACCCTACTCTCCCTCTACATGTGGTTGCAGGGGTGGGATCTGACAACCTGCTGTCGTGAAGGCATAATTTGGGGAAGGGAATAGAGTCACTGAAAACCCTTGAGCAAACAATCTCTAATTTGGCATCGGGTGAACTGAACAGCATAGATAGCTAGGATGGCTGACAAGTATGACCACCTGACCATGGACCATTTGGCGGAGAAGCTGAAGGAGACAGGCATCCAAAGAAACAGATGGCAAAAGAGACAGGACCTGATTGAAGTCCTGCTGGACTATGAGCGAACCAGGGAAGTGCCCACCCCGGTTCCAAGTGGGAGTGGAGATGATGGAACTGCTCTTTCTGATGAGCTGCTGGGAGTGAGCCCCCCCGAGCTAGAAATGCCCGAGGAATGACCCTCTTCTTCACCCAATGGGTTGGACCTCCAGAGATACAGCCTGCAGCTGGAAGCTCAGGA